GAGCGACATACATTGGGCAGACAGGTAGAAGATTAGAACAGAGAATATACGAACATAAAACCAAACAGAACTCAAATTTCGGCAAACACCTTCTATTTAACATAGAACATGAATTCGATGACAATGACAACACAACTTTGATACATAAAACTAATAAAGGGTACATGATGGAGATACTTGAATACTACGAAATTAACAAATTCAAACACAACTTTCCAACATGCCACTGTCTGAACGAACAAATCCAAACCACCAGGAAGCCACTGTACATGTACTTAAAGACCCCATACACCCCCCAAAAAACAAAAAAGAAAATAATACAAAAAAATTTTTCCAGATGTACGTGGATGGTTGAATATGTAGTATTCAACCATCCACGTACATCTGGAAAACCTCTCAACTACACTCCCAACGCTTCCTACCTATTCCAACAATATCCTCTTCAGCTCACACTATTGTATCTGCTTAATGTGACCCATATTTATTATTTTGATGCCTTACATATTATCCATAACATTTTTTACCGTTTAAAAAATTTTGGATTTGGTTATTCATGTTTGGCACTTTAATTTTACCTATTAAACATTTTTCTAGATGCACGAGGGTGACTGAGTATGTAGCACTTAGTACACCGCAACGTCTAGATTTTCCCATTCAGCTGCATTCCCAACCTTACTTAGCAACACATCCTTACATTACCCCCAGCTGTATTTTTATAATACTTACCTTTTCACACTTTCCTTGACATTAATTTATTTATTCCAGATGTACGAGGGTAAATAAATACGTAGCGTTTATTTACCGCAACATCCGGAATTCCCCTCAGCTATTCCTGCAATATTTATAATACATAAATTCATACCGATATTTTACATATTATTATATTATTAATTATTAATTATTATACATATTATTAATTAAGAGTTTTCAAATTAATAACTATTAGTTTCCTTCTTTATCGATGTAATAAGATTTGCATACCTGCATCTATGACTTTTGGTGGTAAAATCTAATTATCCTAACCTCAAAAAAGTATTTTGTTAATTTGTGAACCCACGCTGAATTCAGTCGCAATAATTTAAATTTTAATTTTTCTCATCACGCCAATTTATATACCTTTAAAAGGTTTTTAATTTGTTATATGAATCTACCTAAGTAATTTAATGTATTCGAAAACTGACGTAAGTTTATAGCTTTGTTCGTTGGGACTACACTACTCTGCACGACATGGCACTCGTATGACGTCATAGTGCAATGAAGTGTAAGTCAGTGCAATGTCATGTCAACTTAGTGCAGGTCAGAAAAGTGTATAAACCGTGGTCCCAACGAACAGATTTTTATAAAAAAAGTGTATAATATTTGAAATGGACGAACAGGAGATTGTCAGCGAAATACTCGTGGAAAATGAAATTATCGCAGAATGTTTTTTTAGTAGCGTTTTTTTAGTATTCATC